TAGATCACTGGTTCTTTCTCCTCTGTCTTTTTTTCCTACCTCCCATGAGGATGAAGGTTCATTAGTCAAATAGATTAAAAGACCAGTAAGCCAAGGAAGATTTACCATCTTGGAGTATCAAAATTACAAAGGTATTTTAAATAAGACACTTTCCCTGTATCACAGGATTGAATACAAGGTGTTTCTCTGCTGAATGAATTAACAGCACTGCTTTACTTTCTGCCATCCACTTTAGAGGCTCATCCTTGGCACTGTTTTTTGCTTCATAGTTTTTAGTGTGTTGCCAGATACTCTGGAAATGGGAATATTGCTATTTGTTTTGGATTGGGATCCGCAGACAGGTTTCAGCTATGTTGAATTCGGTGGCTTTGAGTGCAACGTTCCGGCAAAGGAAATAGCTCTTTCCTCCTTCCTCCTCCTGTCCCCAGATCACATTGCTTGGATTCTTCCATTAAGTTGAAGATCTTTGAATACAGTAGGAGCAACATGTAGCAGGTCCTTCCCTGATGTCACAGGTAGTGTACTAAGGAGRTGATTTATTTTTCTCTGTTGATGAAATAGATTTTTAATGGAAATCAGTGTAATGGTAGCAGTTCTTAAAATACAGGAACCTTGCAGTGCTTTGTCATCTGGTCCTCAAAAAAGAAAAAAAAAAGAGGCACAGATTTGTGTACAAGATCAGCTATGCTTTTAAATTTGCCGTATGCTTTTACTTTGCAAGCCACGACTGGTCTCTCAAGGTGCACTTTAGAAATGTCACTTCCATGTAGTGAGGCAGATTCCAGCCATGTGCTAAATGAGCCTTTTTTTCCAATCTTAACGTTACAAATATTAAATCTGTGATCATTTAGCAGTATTTATCCCCCTGTAGCTGTTCATATTTCTCTTTCATTTGCCCACCAGGCTGCCCAGGAGTTGAAGCCGTTCAGCCACATGGAAGGCAAATGCCTTGGATATCCCAAAATGAATTTGCAGGTCTGCAAATTCAGAGGGATGCTGAGTGAAGGAAAGACCCAAAAGCCATTCTTAATTTAGCAGTTGAGCTGTGCTATATGCAACTGAAACTGTTCCTTGCTACCTGGTGAGCAAAGGGCAGCAGTAAAAGTTGCTGCTGGGGCTTCCRAATGTTCTGCTCTTCGAGCAAACAGATGTTTGAGACTTTTTCTTTTCATCCACTTCCTCTCCCTTTTTCCCTTGTCACTTCAGAAAGATTCTGTGTAATGTTAACATAACTCTGGAGCAGTTACTTGGTTTCTGTGTTAGGAGGTTTCTAAGAGCTATTGAGAACACTGAGTAAAGGAGTTTGTTTCTCTAGAGAGGAGAGAAAGAAGATGCTTTTCAAAAGTAGATCCTTAGGAGAGATACTTTACTGTGATCCTGAACCCTCGCAGACAGGGTCAGAACGAAATGAAGAGATAGAAGCAAATCATAACTTGTACATTTTGAAGCAAAAGAGAAGTTCCTTAACAGAGACGTGCTCTTTGTGTCGTCTGTAGGATTTGGAAGTTTTATCTGTCTGGATTTTATATCAGAGGGTTAATAACTACATAAAAGTGATGTGACTGTCCCTGTCTTATGGTGTGCGGGTAGCTCTGATAATACCGTGTCTCTTGCCGTGGCATTTTGTTTTGCAAATAGATCAGAGTAGAACATGGTAACATAGTCTGCTCTGCAAAAGAGCAGCTTAAAATACAAATTTAAGGTTAGAGCCTTGGCACGTGGTTTGTAGCAGTCGTATTCCAGACAGTGAGGACGTGGCCAGAATTGGCATCTGGACAAGATCAATATATTCACACCAGGTACATGAAAATTCCAGGTTTTGGGGGAAGAAGGACAGGTTTTGCAAGATTCCCCCTGCCTACATCATGGAAATAAATCATAACTGCTGACAGCATTTAATACCACTCTTCTGTTTCCAGATAGTCATTTTTGGGGAGTATTCACGTTAGTGGGGTAACCGTGCTGGAGTGTCCCTGTTTTGCAGAGGCAGCTGTGAAGGTGCAAGACACGCAGGGCTGCTCCTGCCCCGCGCCGCTGGTGCCTGTCAGGAAAAGCCCTGGTGACTTGGCAGCATGAAACTTATTTTCCCTTGCTGGGCTCTAAAGGTGGTATCTCCTTGGCTCTGAAGGAGGTGTTTGCTCACGGGGTCTCAGCTAGTAGCTCCAGTAAGATTAGAACAAATGATTATCAATGTCTGTATTATGAGGTAATCCTTGATTTTCACTTGATGTTCATCTGAAGAACAGTTGAAGCGAGATGCACTACTCTGATTCTGTAGATTCCACTTTGATCTTGCTGGTTAGTGAATGTAGAAATTAGTATTATTAGGTTGAAAATTGCTGGCTAATTACAGGATTTGCATATAGCTATGAGGAAATAGATTGCCTAGGAAAAACCTGCTTATTGCAGTAAACTGCTTCACTTTGTCTGAAGTTTGACTGAAGATGTTGTTTATGTTTCTTCAGATGATTTTTTTAACCCGAGTTGTTCAGAGTAATGAAGCCTCCTGATTCCATACTAGCCTCGTTTAAGCTGATGAGTCCTTGCCTGAAGCCTTCTGAGCACTTGGTGGTTCATTTTCACTACCCTGTTTCTGGGTTACTGATTCTCTGAAGTAAAAGTTCAGCTTTGCTGCCTCTAAGGTCACCCCTTGGTTGCAGTATCATCGTTTTGAGACAGCGGATATCGCACTGGGAGCGATATCCAAACTACTCTGCAGAGCCACATCACTGCTTCAGCATTAACTTGAACTTCAGCTTGTTCTGGCAGTGCCACTCAGCTCAGGTTGGAGACTTTCATGCACATASAAGGCTGGTGAGGGACAGTTTTGGTTTTATGAACTATTTTTCACTTTATGGTGATTTAACATGTGAATGTAGTGACTTTATGTGCTTCTGTTTTTTGTATTACTTTTCTGTGAGACTGGACCTCTGCTACAGCTTCACTTCTGGAGACATTAAGTACATATGAAATTCTTTTGTTGTGGAAGTTGTTTGGCAATTATGATCGCTAAAATTAGCGTACTGGAAGTATTTAATTTTTGGCTTTGTTGGCAACAGTGAGCTCAAAGATGCTCTGTCAGACTGACATGTAGACCCTGTGCAGACCCCGGTCCTGAGGAAGCAGAATAGTGGGATTGGCTCCTGGCAGCTTGGGGAAGGAACCAGCTTAATGCTTAATACCCAAAAAAGGAGAAACCTTGCCGATTTTTTATTAAAAAAAAGTCTTTACATTTTGGTGAGTTTTGCATATGCTAACATTTAATGGATGTGACATACAAAAGACATGAAAAAATCCATAGCACATTTTGAGCATGTACATAGTGATGCAAAAAATATCTCTCTCCAAAATCGTTCTAGAAAGAGCAGCATAGAGTAAGTGAAAATACAAAATCTTTTATTGTGACATGTTAGATTTATTTAAATGCTCTTTTGTCGCTGAGCTGCATTACGCTTTTTCTCACTAAAGATGAAACCACAGATAACAATTCTATATAACAGATTTATGTGATGGAAGTTTGCTCATTAAATATTGTTCCCTAAATGAAACTAGTATTAAGAAGAAAGATGATTAAGTGAATGCAAACCCACACTATAAAAACAGTTGTGATTTTGGCAAGAGAAACTTTAAGCAACTGTTTCCAAATACTTTAACTGGGACTCGGTACCGGTGACGGCAGCCCTTCTAGTTTTCAGTTTTCTACTTGCTCTGCTAATTTGTGACCTGACCCTTATGTGCGATAATAGGAAGGAAATAACTGTCATATTCTGTGTCATTACAGCTATAACATTTCCTTCTGAGATTTATTCATTTACTTATTTTCATCAMGTTTAATATGGAATTGGATTGAGGAGTTAGTCCATTGAATGTTACACTTATTATCGGGGGTCATTAATCCTCTTTAACTGGCTTTTTCTAAGGAAAGGTGAGATAGGGCCTCATGCAGCATTATAAAATATATCTCAGTATTTTAAGTATTATAAAGTGGAGGTACCTGTGTAGACTGGGAGCTCCATGATTTTTCTCTCCTTTTGGGAATTTTGTGTCTTCTCAGTAAAGAGAATTTCRTGGCAACCCTGGGAATGATGTAGGTAGTACCATGAATGGCCACGTTTTGGCTGCTCATGCTTTTAAGTCAGGGAGGCCCRAGCTTATCCGAAGCATTGCTGCCTCTTAAAAGATAAGACCTGTCAAGTGTTCAGTGTCTGTTAAAATTAGGAGATTAGAAATGACAGCTAGGAGTTTTGCTTCACAAAGAGCATTTCATGTGTCTTTGTCCCGCAAATCAAATTTTAAAGTCTTGGGGCACTGAGCAGCCAGCTGGATTTTTTTTGTTTTGTTTTGATTTGTAATCGAGTTACTTTCTGTGTAATAGCTACTGACTCTAACAAATGAGCTTTCTGATTCTTCTGGATGATTTAGGGTTACTTTGAGTGGGTCATTTAGAGCCATGTGAGTGACTCTGTTTTGGTAGGATGGCAGGCCCTGAGCAGGCTGCAGGTGAAGGCAGTCGGCTGAAACCTGGATGTGGAAAAAGGGAAGACAAGGCCATTTGAGTTGTGGTTTGAAGGGCAGCCTACAAAGACTGSCCCTTCTAGACAAAATTGTAAAGTTGTACTGATTCTCCTTAAGTTTGTCTGGTTTTATATCTCATCTTACACAGATGCTTGCAAACGGAAGGAATAATTTTTAGTTTATATGTATGTGTTGTGTGAGGATGAAATAGCAATGAGATGATGGAATTAAACTGAAAAGTATCATTTATTATGACATAGTGAAATGTGTGAGTGTTCCCTGTCCTTCATCACCCCATGGCACCTGAAGGCTMTTTAGGACAGGCAAAGGAAATGCCACATCCAGGCAACCTGCCTCTCCTCTCCTTCCTCCCCAGACTGCACTTTGGTATTCAATGCAGCAAGGTATAGGTCAGGATTACACTTCAGGATAACTCTTTAGAAAGCATTGTCAGGCAAAATAATGATGTGTCWTTTCTTCCTCAGGAAAGCAAAGAAACAGGCTGGAGCCAATGGACACCATATTTGTTAAACAAGTGAAAGAGGGTGGGCCTGCTTTTGAAGCTGGACTCTGCACAGGTACTGTTCCCCTATAACACTGTTGTAGCGTGTGCATTTGCAGTATGTAAAATCTATTCAGTTTAAACTTGCATATAGTTCCGAGTGTTCCACCAAACTTTCATATCAATCATTCATAATTAATTAATTTTTCATTCAAAAGTCCCAAACACCTCTTTTTGAGTCATCATCCTGTGGTTTTCATCCCCAAAATGCCAGTTACAGTCGGGTTCCCTCAGGAGGTACTATGCATCACCTACATATCTCTATTGAAAAAGGCACAAAAGTGTATTAGTACCTTTCTTAAGAAAAAATTAGGTAGAAAACATGTGGTAAAATATGTGAGGAGAAGTATGTGAAAGTGTTGTATTTGTGTCTGTAATGGAGCACTGGTATTTTCTTTTGAAAAAACTTGTGCATTTACCTGGAGTAGAATAACTCCTGTATACCGCTTCCTAAAGAAATAGAAAGATTCCAATTGGATCAGCAATTTAAAAACAGTAGTAGGTCACAACTGTATAACCTGTTGTCTGCCTCCCTCCGACCCTGTTGCTTTTTCTTTTAACCTCGCCTTGTGTCATTTCTTAGGGAAGACTTCAGCATTATTTTAATGCCAATATATAAAGAAGTGTTTAGGTTGGATAAAATAGTGTTTGCTGAAGCCATGTTAACCCAAGAACCGTGTTAATTTCTACCCTATTMAACGTTTACCAAACTGAAAGAGATGAAATCTGCAGAATATTTTATTTTTAGATGTTAAAAAGGGTTTTAGGAGCTCAGAGTGAAGAACAAGTAATAAATGGGAAAATAGATTTTTAAATTACCAGGGTATATTCTTTTTAAAAACACTGTAGATAGTCGTTATATCTAATTAAGCCTAACGTTGCTATTTCTTGTTAAAACTTCTGATTGAGATATATTACTATATTTCTGTCTTGAAATTGCATTATAAAACACTCAGGGAGTGATCGATGAAGTAGATTTGCTTAACTTCTGATACAGACGCTGTATACATTTCTTGTCTTGTAGATTCAGCTGTATTATTTTTAATAGACCTTAGGTTTGTTTTGTAATCATACCAATGAAAAGAAATTACTTGAACATGATGAGTGAGGATTCGTTAGAGGTGTTTGTTGGTTAGCTGTTAGCTGTTTTGTTTTTACTGGATCCGACTTCACTACTGTATCACAGAATGATTGAGGTTGGAAGAGACCTCTTTTTGGGCCGCTCGACAGCTATGAGGAAAAAAAGCCTTCACGTTTCCATGTTTTTTTATTTTTGTTCTACAAGCCTCYTCTTTCTGTATGTCTGAAACTGCAAAGTTACATTTTGCAGCATCACCTACAGCTGTTTCTTCCATGTAACTGGTTTTGGCTTGTGACCTACCGGAATTCTTTGGCGGTTCCAGGTGCTGATTCGTAGGATAAATGCTTCAAGTAGGCTGTTTCCTTGCTTTGCTGAGGCTAGCTTGGTTCTCTGGAGTACATACGATAGCTGGAACCACTTTAGGGATGTTGCTAGTTAACTTTTCTCAGTGGGAAAAGTAAGATCCAAATCCGCAGGTGAAATCTAAAGCAGTACACGAAGCAGTAGTTTTAAATTGTAGAGAAGAATCTGATAGATTCCAAGCAAGTCGTGCCATATGCCCTAGCAGGGGTGGGCTTACAGCTTGTAAATTAAATTATTTTGGGATATAAATTGTAGTTTTTTTCCACAAAYGTACTTTTCGAAAGGATTTCTTTTGGCTTGCTATCAAGCACTTCCAAATTAACTTTTCCATAGAAATGCAGGTTTGCCTACAGCACTGGGATGAAGGTTGATGCCAGTCTCAGCTGCTCATCATCCATATAGATGGACCACACTTAATAAAAATTGCCCTCAGTCATTTCTCAGTACCTTGTAAAACAAGAGATGCCCTAAGGGAAAGCAAGAGATGGAAGTGAGGGAGTGTTTTCATGAAAATGATAGTAAGCAATTGATAAAAGGGAATAGATAGAGAGTTTCAACTTTCAGAGAGTTGTGGACACTGCAGCGATTTGGCAGCGATGTGTAGACCAAATTAACACCCAGCCATCAGACCCATTCTGGGAGGGTAGATCTGAAACTCTTTGGGGGGCTGTATATCTCCATAGTCCTTGCATTTAGAGAGTGATTGCCACTGAATCAGACCAGAGCTTTAGATTGAGCTGCTTTTTCTTTGTCTTTTACACGATCACACCAAAAACACACAAAAAATGGCTTTCAAACTCTAGACTGGGAAATCTCACTGTACTGCAAAAACCATTCCCCTTGCCTCACTGTGCGTGGGTCCTGTCTTTCAGTTCTTCTTTTCCCAACTGCTCCCTGGAGCTGTAATATTTTACTTCATTTTCTCCTCATTAGTAAATTCAAGGCAGTTTTTTGATATTCTGATAAGTGATAAGGTAAAGAAGCTTTCTGGCAGAGGAAAAGCCTGTGGGGATAGAGTTTTCATCCAGAGCTGAAGTAGCTGCATTGCAAAGATCTCTGTGTCTCCTCATTGCTGCATTTGCCACTTCTTTATGCTGGGGGTGTTTGAAGTTGTGAATGGGGAAGATGCAACAATTATTTGGAGAAATCTGATAAAAGTGATATCAAATCTAAAGATAGATCTGAATGGATGAGAGATAGCCCCTTACTCCACCCAAGATGCATTGATAGTCTGAATCTTGAAGAACAAATAATGATTCAGAGGCAAAATGTCCTGAGGAAGGAAGAAATTGGAGCACTTTCCAAATTGTTCTTTTTAATCAAATGGTCAGGAAACAGTAAATTAAAGGAAATGCATATATCTGTATGCAGGCAGTGTCCTAAGTTAATGTTTGGCTTTGTTTTGTATTTAAGTGCTGTAATGAAGTGTTTAGCTATAATTCACTTAAGAATTAGGGTGAATTTTCACTGTGTAGTATCATACATCATCAAAAACATTATTTTGGAGACAGGATACTCTCATAGAGCTTAGGTCTGCTTCTGTTTTGGTTCTTCTGATTATTTTGAGATACATACTTAAAAAATAAAAAAAGTCTAGACAAGTTGAATAAGGTGTAACTCTTCCCTTCACAGGTGACAGAATTATAAAAGTCAATGGAGAAAGTGTTATTGGAAAGACCTATTCTCAAGTCATTGCTTTAATACAGAACAGGTAAGATACTAGTATTTAGTTATGCATTGAACATTGCTATGTTCTGATTGTTGAGCCGGAAGTTACTGCTTATAATGGTTCTGAAAATGTCGTTTTTTATATTTTTAAATCCTGCATATTATGCATGTGTTTTTTAGTGTTTTGATTTCTGAGCATGTATTCAATGCTCAGAAAAGTGCAAGAACGTGTATTATGACTTGTACCAGACCTTTTGTGTCAGTGCTTGGTTCCTCGTTAGGCAGTTGCTTTGCTAGTAAAAGGTGTCTAAGTTTAAAGTGAGCAGGTGAGTAGTACGTGCATACCCATGTATGTGTCCCTTTAGAAGGAAAATCTGAAAAAAATCTGCCTTTCTTATGAAGAACTGGTAACTACAGCTTAGCGTATCTGGTAAAGCAAGCATTTTGCAGCACTACAGACCTGCAGACATCTTCACTGCATCCTRGATTTCCTTCACATTGCTGCAAGTTAGGAAGCTTACACAATATTGAAGGAAGCAGTGACATTTATTGCTCTTGCAGTAAGATCCAATACAGTGATGAGTTAGGAAGAAAAAAGATGTGTTGGGATCTGCATGGAAAAACGTCCTTGGCATGCGTCAGATGTGACACATTGCATTTTTAGTGAAGTTCCATGCATTATTTCTTAGTTATGTCTACTGTCAGAGTGAAGGAAAGTAGAAAATGCTGGCCTTCCGACTTCAGGGCAGTCTTTATTTAAGATTTTATTGAAGATAAATATATTTCAGATGCATGTTTTTTAAAGCAAGCAGACACTTTAGGATTCGGTAGCCAAAAGGGTGATAGGCAAGGTAGCCTCCAATGCCTTTCAGGCCATCAGTACTTTCTGTATGAGGGCTGGAAAGAGGGAATCTTTTTTTCTTTTTAAAACATGCAAAAGTCTGAATATAAAACTAGTCACGTATCTTTTTCTTGGTTGATACTCTTGATCCAAGACGGGGGCGTAAAATTTTTTACTTTAATGCAAAAGACAGCAAACCAGATCACATCTTTCAGTAACCTCACTAGGCAGAGGTTATTAAGGTGGTGAGTAAAGGCTATTTTAGAGTCTTTTGGGTGAGTAGTGAACCTTAGGGTAAGTAGTAGCCCTGTGTCCAGTCTAGATAAGCCAGAGAGACCTGGGAGGGTTTGTAAGGATGGTGTTATCAGTGGTAATTTAGTGCACTGGACGTGAGGCAGCAGCCTGCTCTTGCTGGCCTTGGTTCGCATGAGTGCAGAGACGAGGAGGGGATGCTAGTGCCAGCTAGAAGGTGAGAGCGTTTCTTTTATCATCCTGAGCCGAAGACTAYAGCTAAGGACAAGTCCTTCCCAGAGAATGATGCAAAAATGCTGAGGAGTCTTCTATACAGAAAATACAACTATTTTCAGTCTTCATAAATGTTCTCTTGAGCTTCTTAGAGTCCAACAGATACCAATTTTAATTCATAAAGGTAACTCAAAGATTCCAGAGTAGTGACCTGTCCCTTCCTCGTAGCTTACAGGCAACGATGCTGTCAAGTGACAGTGTCTCATGTGACTGGTGAATGAAGTTTCTGGTTTTCTCTTGGAAACTGTGTTCTTGAGCGGTCTGTTCTCCACATCTTTGTTTTCTTCTAAGGTCGTAGGCAGTTAGTGCCCCTTCACTGCTAGCTGGCTTGTGTTACCTTTATTTTGGTCTTGGTAAATGCGTGCATAGCTCCAGTGTAACCACTTGGGATCAGGGTGAAGGTCTGTTCGGGTGAGTGTCCTSTCTGATGAGGTCCAACAGTGGGTTCCTAGGAAATGAGGGTGCAAACACTGGACCTGCAGAGTGATATTTACTCAGCAAATGCCACCCGCCTTCCCYGAAATCTCTGCTTAGGAATGTCATGAACTCGGTAACTGCATCATGGGATTGGATAGTTCTTGATAGGTTAGTGTTGCCTGAGGTCACTTTTGAATGTATTTAAGCTTTTAAAGTGTAAAAAAGCCAGTGACATAGCTCTTGCTTTGTTTTGTGTCCTAGCTAAGTTTTGATAAAGCCCAGCTTCATTYCTGTAGTAGCTTTGTGCAAGAGAATTGCTAAAAGGCCTTTTGAAAGACCAAATACATTATTTAATAAATCGCAATCTCCTTTATTTGTGACTGAAGACAGTTTCATTTATGGTCTCAGTATGTTGTGTCATAATTTCCTAGCTATTTTAATTACTGTATTTTAATCATCACTTTGCCATTTCAAACACATTGCTGACTATAAATGCTTGTTCTTCTATAATTTCTCTGGTTATCTTCAGAGAAGTTTTGAGTAAAGATACAACACATGTTATTCTCTACCTCTCCTAATGAGAGAGCTCCCCCTCTCACCAAATTGCTTTGAACTTAAGCTCAGCTCTTTCTTGCTGCATTTTAATTGAGTTATTCCAGAAACTGCATCTCTGCAGCAGTTCATTATATTTCTAGAAAATTGTGGATGTTTGTCCTGGACATAGAGTGCTAGAGACTTCAGAATTTAGGCTTCTACTTAAAGCCAGATCCAAATGGATGCTTTCTGATTATTAAGTGAAAGAGACCCATACATTTCTAGGATTTATGGATACGCTTTTGTTTTGTTCCACCCCAAAATGTAAGTGGCATTTTTCAAGCCGCGGAGAACATTTTATCCTAGTTGTAGGTAGCATCAGTTTCAAAAGGGGAAAAAAGAAGTTTTACTTGTGTTTACAGGTTTGTCACTTTATTTTGTCTGAGAAGCTGCAGACAAATAATAGAACTTCTGACTCTAAGAATAAATACTAAAAGAAAACTGACAAATAGTGTGTATATTGGTGTAATATACTGGTTGCACTGGGAACACAGGTGCATTCTGCAGTTTAGCTTCTGTTTAACTTGCATTTGCTGAGGCTGTTGATGCTGTGATAGAAACCTGTGCTGTTTTAACTCCTGTAAAGATATTTGACAGAAGAGCTGAGTGTGTCTTAGCTCATCTGGAAATTTTTGAATATTTTGGTCTTTGGAAGGTGTTGGCTTGTTTTTGTAAGAAGAATTGAAAATTCTTTTCCATAAATTGATGTATAGTGTTTTTTCTTTCAGTGACAGCATATTGGAACTTAGTGTTATGCCGAAAGATGAGGACATCCTTCAATTGGTAAGTTTGTGACACATATTCAGACAGTATTTTTAAAATTAAAGTTAAAAAAAGACTTGTTGGTTGCAAAACTTTGAACTGTGCTTCTAGCAAATAATTAAGAACTTGACATTTAGTTTTCTATCCCTCCTTAGATATTGCCCCTACTTTACTCACGGGAGAGGACTTGCTTAAATACAGGAGAAAATACCAAATTCACCTGATATTCCTACCTTATTCATTTAAAAAGTCCCTATGGGAGTGTTTATATTTTTTCTATGTTTTGGCTCCATTTTTGTGTTTTTTAATTTATGAATTGGATGACTTTTAGCAGTTAGGTCTTTGTAGAGAAGTGAAAGAATAAAATCTGTCACTTAAAGTTAATTTTTAATATCTTATTATTAGTGGAATTTCGTGAAAGCAAGCAATGAATGTGCGGAAGAAAATTATCAATTTTAAAAAAAAAAATTGGTATTTTTACTGGTGTAAAATTTTTGTTATGCTAATGTTTGTATGTTCCAAATTAGAACTGGGGTTCAGCATGCAAATGAGGTGTCTCTTCTCCTGGGCTGTTTAGTGTCTCTAAGCTGGGATTAGTCTGTGGAAGTGCTGTTTCTGAGAAAGTGGGAGAACACATCAGGTCTTGAGAGGCTTGGTTTATTTTTAATGGGAAATAGAGGAAGGAAGAAAACACTGARAGAAGTAAATTTGCTGATCAGTGGTCAGATAACTGGGTTTTCTAATGCATGCAAAACACGTAACAATTAGGAACAGGCTATGAGGACTTTACTGGCTGCGCGAGGACAAATAAGTGGAAGAAATACAGGTGAGGCAGGAAACTATGGAGTTTTTGGAGGGAAACTGAGCACTAGGCAGTTAACAGCTGGAACACAAAGTGAAAACTGAGAGCAAGGGTTATAACTAATGGGCCTTCTAAGTAGGATCAGTTCCATTCTGAAGATAAAGACAAAATCATAAACTTGGCTTTGAACTGAAGATGAAGTCTAGGACAGGAACTCAGCTAGTTGGACAAACAAGCCAAGATTATTATATATTTTACTGGGACACAGTGTCTGTCTTCAGTGGCAGAGCTGCAGTGTTTGAAGGTACAGGTGCATCCTGTGACAGAAGTGATTTTTTTTTCCTTTTATATCACCACAAAGGGGAGAAAATATTGTGACCTTTAAAATAACCATTTAGATTCTTTTCAGACAAAGTAAATTGTCTCCCTGTAAATTCAGTTGAATGAAAAACAAAATTCCCCTGAGTATGCTGTGTAATAATCTTCATTCTAGAAGTGGAAATCTTTGTCTTTTGTGGAAATCCTGTGTTTAAATAAACTCTAAACCTTTGGGCAAATTCTGATTCCTTAATGAAGTACAGAWCCTATAAATAAAAGATAACAATGGTGGTGATCTGTTTGTATATATAAAGCCAAGAGTGAACAGTAAGTGGTAAGGTACAGTGCCCTTATTAAGGTAAAAACAAACAAGCTTTTATTGTTGAAGTTGTATTATATAAGCTGCTATTGTAGTACCTTAAGGAATTCTGCTGTGCTCTCTCTGGTATCAGTGTCACTAAATTCTACTCTAAATATCTTCATATGGCATCAAAATCATTGTAAACCACTGATGTTAAGAACAGATATGCTCTGAAACATAAACCAAGCTCAAAGCACTAGTGGATGATTGCAGGAGGAGCTATTGAAAGGCTCATTAGCACAATGAGGAGAACATAGGGTCAGTATATGCAGAAATGATGCTCGTTGTGGTAAGTGTTACAGTACATAAAGAACTCAAGTGCTCATTTCTGTCCTTAGCTTACTATTTATAAATCTCCAGTCTCCCGAGTTTCCATATATGTCTGTGGACATTTAGATATATTGAATTTCCTGCAAATAGGGCTTTTTAAACTCATTCACCAATTGCAGCAATGAAGTGTTCTAAGCCCTGTGCCATCGCCCTCAGTGGCATCTGTGCACCCCTTGCTTAAAGATGAACCGAATGCCTTGTCATTAGCGAACACATCGTGTCCAAATGGTGTTCATTCACCGAGGAGACCTTGGAAATCCCTTCTGGGGACAGAGGGGTTATTTAGAAGCATCTTTCTCCAGACTGTGACAAAACCTTGAAGTCTGCACAACTAGCCAGGAGCATAAAGGGCAAAAAGTGCTTTGCTGATGTGCTAGTTGCAAAAGGGGGATCGGGGAAAATGGGTTGATTGGGAAGGAGGGGCAGGAAGGTGTTTAGAGGTCGGGATACAGAGGGCCTGGATGCAGGGGGGTGGCCGGCTTGCTCCCTGCCCCTGCTGGTCTCTCCTGGCAGCCGGAGGAGGATCCAGGGAGCCAAAGGAGGATCCCGGCAGCTTGGGCAAGCCTAGAATTAGGAGAAGCCATGAGGGAACTTCAGGCTGGTCAGACTTGCCTCAGTCCCTGAAAAGATTGTGGAGCATATCCTTTACAAATCCATTCGCAAGAGCATGGAAGGGAGGTGGTGGGAATACCCAGTACGGATTCCAGAGAGCACGAGTCGTCCCTGCAGCCCAGCTGGCATCATGGTGGCGCGTCGGGCTGAGCCCAGTGGTGACCCTAGGGACCTGGGTGCTCCTAGGAGAAGGTGTCGGAGCTGGGAGCACCCGCAGGTGGAAGGGAGCGGGTCGGGGGGCTACCTGCTGGGCTCACGGGCTGGGCTGGGGCAGCAGCCCTGGGTTCCACAGCCCGTAGCTCGTAGCAGGAGGAAGCAAGTGCCAGCACTGTTCGATGCCTTTGTCCTGGATGGTGTCCAGGATAATGTCAATATCTTCGAGCCGGATGGTCACTGAGCAGCTCCGTGGATGCAACAGAGGGAGCAGCTGATGGCAAAGGCGAGCAGATACTTCATGATATTAAATACAGAAAAATGCAAATGTTCCACATCAGGCAGAATAACCCCCTGGAATAACAATCCTGCTGAAAAGGATCCGAGAATTGCAGCGAACACCTTGTTAAATATTTATTTCCGCATGGCTTTACTCTTGGCTTGATGAGTTTTCATATCTCAGCCCAGTGCTCGGACCTTGTAGCTAGGTTTAATTAGACCTTTGCAAACAGAACATTGATGGTCTTCAGTCTGCATGGAGCTTCCAGCTCCATACAGACAGCTTCCAGTTCCATACAGGGGCTTTTCAGGCACCTTTGGAATGCAAATAAAAACAAACAAAACTACGAAAATGTTTTTTTTTTTTTTTTTTAAAAAGAGGAAAAAGAACACTGTCTTTTTAATCACAATTCAGAATTCCTGCTAAAATCTTCTCGGGTCATCTCGCTTTTAAGCATCAATTCTGTGTATTTTTATAAGTGTTTGAGGTAGGGGTGAGCATGCTGGGGTGTGACACAGATGAACTCGCAGGGACACTGGAAATGAGGAGACAAGGAAAAGGGTAAGTGCTTTTCCATTGAGAAAGAGGTTAGAGAAAATGGGAGAATGCTGAGATCGTTATGGAGCTGGAGAAGCAGCAGGTGTGATAAGAGAAAAAGAGCAAAGAAAATGTCTAAAAATAGCAATGTGTTAATTAGGATTGAGCAAGGAAAGCTTTCCTTTAAGAGAAGCAACAGTTTTAGCTTCTAATTCATGGTTTTTAATTGCATTAAAAACAGATTTAGATGAAATGACAATCAACGTGTAATAAGGATTCAATTATAGTTTACTAAAAAAGAAGTAAAGTTTTGCAACTTGGTTGTAATCCCAGAAAGCTCTTCCTAAATGCACCAATAAATAAATATATTAAAAAGAGATAAAGTATTTTAAACTGAAGTTTTTCACTAGTTCGCTTTAAGAGTTTTAATCTCCTTTTTAGCCCATGAGCTGCACCCACAAGCTATAGTTTAAAAATGGTCTGGGCTTAGCAAACTGTGAAGTGTGTAGAAATAGGACTGTCAAGGGGAATATTAGTTTTGACTTGATTTGGTTTGGAACCCAGCCCCTCAAGGTGTTGGACTTTGCATGCACAGAATTGTAGTTAGCATTTAGCTTGAGACAAAAGGGATTTTCCTGGATTGATTTGTTTTTGTTAAGCATGTGATGCGTAGCTGTTCCCACGTCCCCAGCGTGTTTATGGAACTCTGATTGAGCTGTGGTTTCACAGGGTTGCTAGTTCTTTACTGTAACGTTGGCAAAATGCAGTGCTCATACAGCTTGACTTGCTTTCACCCAAATTATGGTGTTTGGGAGACAGCTCTTTGGCTCCTTTAAGTGGCTTTTTGATGATAAAGCTTGGCAGTGATGTCATCTTTGCTGGGAAAACAAGAAGTAAATTTTAAAATAAAAGTAAAATAATAATAAAATAAAAATAAAAAATAATAAATAAATAAATTTGGAAGTAGTCAAACAGGAAAAAGCTGGAGGTGCCCCCAGCAGTTCCGCTCTGTATCTGTGAGTGAGAATGGATGGTGCTGAGAGGAAGAGCCGAGGTTGAGTGTGACCAATTTTTGCAGACAACCTGCTCCCCTTTTCACGTAAGAATAGCCCAGACCTTGTCTTCTGCAGAAGCCCTCAGATGTTATGGAATCACTCTCCTCCTTGGGCGCATTGAGGTGGCAAGAACACCTTCTGTATCCRGTAGGATGCTTTGCTCCCGTGTCTGTGAGCAGGTTCCTTTCACCGACAGTTACAGCTGGCTGGAAAATCCACCAAAGTTCACTGGAGAGCAATGCTGAGCTGATGATTGAGGAACATCATACAYCCAGTATGGATGTTTTGGGCTGAGTAAGCAGCTCTGGTGTACACTTCACCTAAAATACTCAGAAATACCCCAGATGAAACATTTGCTTTATTCGGATGCCGGCTGAGACGACCTRTTCTGTTTGGCCTGTCACTGCCTAATGAGGAGATGCCTGTTGTCCTGCCAAGCAGTATGTCATGATTTGGGAYCGGTCACAGGACGTATTGTGTTCTGTACAGTTTGAAGGGCATCTGGGAACGCTGTTGGGTGGGAGAGGAAAAACAGAACTGGAGATGCTGGGGGCAGAACTGCGTTTTTCGGGAGGCGGTACTTGGTGGAGGGTTAAGTGAAAGCAAGAAAGAGCCGTAGRAAGGGGTGGCAGAAAGCCCTAGAAAGGCATGGCTTGTTAGTTTGGCAGATTATGGAGCAAACTGTTCAATCTCTGAAAAAAAAAAAAAAAAAGGAATTAATTGAGGGGACAGAAGCTCCCTTATGTGTTGGCATTTTCTCTGCCTTAAAAAAAGCTTTTTGAACCAGTTCCATTTTCTACACAAAATGTGTGCATTTTGTATGAGCGTGAAACTGTGTCAGTTGAGACAAATTGTTTGGAAAAGGCTGCTGTTATGTAACACCATTCTGCTCTAGGAGATGAAAACTTGAGGCTCTTTTAATGTGCCTTTTAAGCAGCAGGGATTGGGAGCGCAGGGAGATGATTTTTAATCAAGCAGCAGCAGGATATAGGCATCTAGAAAACAAGTAATTTCTTACTTAGCTTGTCAAAAAAGCTGATGGAAGAAGGGCTTAGGAGGCCCTACTGATAGTCTTTACCCTTAAGGGTAGTAYTTAAGTTGCAAGAGCAGGCCATGGTACCTGTTCACTGCTGAAAGGTGCGCATTCCTCACGCGAGGTTCCGGCAGTCTCTGCATTCCCGATGGTCTGCGGTTACCTCACACCTTGGGAATCGCCCTCTTTCTTCTGTCTCTTTCTTTACGGTTGCATTAGACAAAACCATGGAGCCCTTTTGAGACTACAGGGATTTCTGCACTGTGCTCTCCTCAGTCCTTACAGTTTGGCACGTTTCTGTACAATTTCTGAGGCGTTTTTGACTTTTCTTTGGGCGAAATTTGTGTTGTGTCTGATACTAGCAGCACTGGCTTCCTGCAAACAGGAAACCTCACTTAGGTTTTCCACAAATAGCTCCTTTTCTCAAGTGTGTTTAATGAGGTTGTTGCTGTTCTGTAACCTTCTAAAAATCATGGTTCAAATCGTGGTGCTGCTCAGTTGTGGGGCTCAGTTGTGCTAGAGCTCCGCTGGTGCCAACCGGAGAGGGAACGGAGAGAGGAACCTGGGCTGCAGGGCCCGCTGCGGCCCGGGCCCCCTTGGSACCCTTGTCTGGTGCTGTCCAGAATGTCTGTGCTGGGAAAGGCGGGATTTGGGATCACATTTGAGGTGTRTTGGGATTTGCTTGTGGTGTGTTCATTCCTTGTGAGTGAAAGAAAGGAGATAGTTTACAAGTCACTGCATTTTAAGTGCCAGGCACTTTAAAAGTTGTAACTTTAACGTGTTCACTGAATTGTCCCTTTGGAAGGATGGCTTTTAATGAGCTGGTTGATGTTTTCAGTGTGTTTACTAATATGTAAATATAAGTGTCTATTTTGTTTACAAATGCGCACACACACACACTAAGTTATTCTGCCTTCTCATTAATTTAATTTCTGAGCATTTTCTACACCAGCTACCCACTCAAAAGTTTATCTTTCTTGACTTCTAACCTACCTTAAAATGTTTCATTTGGAATAATTTTTTTTAAATCACTCAGATGTAATTGCCCCAAAGTGTAGCCAAAATAATTCCCAGTTGGATACTGTTAGTGCAGTGAATTTTCCAGCTCCCAAGTGCCTGATGCAGTAGCCCTGTGCAATTGCCAGAAAAAAAGAAAAGAAAAATAGTGCTCCTTATTTATTAGGAGGTTTATTCTAGAATTCCATATGCCCCGTTAACCTCCTGCCCCTGGTGAGAAGCCTGCCTGTAGTCCACTTTCTAACAATAATTTCTTTTTCTTTTCCCTAAGACCATTCAGTTACATCAGAGCAAATGGAGCAACGTGGCTGTTTCATTGGCAAGCTGGGGGATATTTTTCTTTGCTTTGTTTTTAAAAAATCGATGACATTTTCATAAATGGCAGTGTTTAGTGCACAGCCTTGAGTGCTTGTTTACTTCCAGSTTCCATACAGAGGCAGTTGCAGAGGTTAATATTAATGCTATTAAATTTAATTTTAAAGCAAATCCAATGGGAGAAGCAGTGCGGTGAGAAGATAGAAGAGACATACGGACCTGAAACACTTCTTTATAGCATTGCATGGTTTAAATGCTATTTCAATCAACATCCTCCACTTCAATTTGGACTATTCTKTAGAAGAAAGTCTCTTGCGCAGCTTGTACTTGGAAATTAATTTTCTTGGACTCAAAGCATTAAATTTTGTATACCCAAATGTCACTGCCATTGAAAAGGAAAAGTGTTGTGCTTTCCAAATAATACTATCTGACTGTAATGTTTGTAGAGTGCCTCAGAGTGAAAGGAAAGCACTTGAGTTGTGTTATTAACGTTCCTGTCAGGGCAGATTATCATGGAAAACCGCTTCCCGTTCAGGCCTTGGAGCATTTCCCTGATGTCCGGCTCCCGTGGCCGTGGGCCCTGATCCGTGCGGCCCTCCCAGCCCTCAGCAGCCTTCCAGGGAGCAGTCAGGAACATAACTGGTTCTGATGATTAAAGTTAGAAGGCTCCTTATGTTCCTAAGGGCATTCAAAGACTTTCTTAATTTTAGGGCATACTCTAGTGGTTTGTTTTATGATTATATCCCCTGCTGCAGTTGCTTTGACATGAAGGCAGAGTTTTCATGTACTAAGTCATTGTAGAGGAACTAAAGGCAGAAGAGAATRATATTCAAACCGTCATTTAGGTACAATTGAAAAATATGCTAATTACCCAAATATCATCTGAATGATAATAAGTGTATTGATATGCCTCACATCTCTTAATTGCTTAACCTCGTTTAAAAATCTAACCAGCACCTTCTGGTTAAAGCAGTTAAAACATATCTTAATAAAAAGGGATGATGATACATCATCCATCCACCTAGACAGTAATGAAATCTGTTATAACTTGATGAAATGAAWTCTTTTATAATTTGAAATATTTCTGCATAGGCCATAATCAGGATTATAAAAGCTATTTTAGCAGTTCCTGTAGGGGAGCATCATACTTGTTATATATAAACTTTTCCTTTCTTAGAGGAATGATGGGCCTTCTTTTAAGGATTTCTTGGCAGGTGGGTGAAATTGAAAAWTTGAAATTGAAAGAAGGAGTTTCTAACCACTAAAATTTCTCTTTTTTTGGCAATAACTTTATCAGAACTGACAGTCTCTTGCCTAGGTGGTATCCAACTGTGATGAAGAGAATACATTCTTTATTTGAGGAGGCAGAAGGAGGGTCTAGCTGGGCTTATTTTAGCAGAGTGTTGTCTTCTGGAGCTGTTGTAATATGTGTTTTGTCAAGAGCTAAAAATTGATCTTTATGCTCATTTGTAGTCATAAGCGATGATCGGATCAGGCTGGTTTTGGAATCCAGCCTTTTTGCTGTCAAGATCAATGAAGCGTTGTTGGTCTAGAGCATATTTCACAGAAACACACACCAGTGGGTTTTATACCGGTGCTACAGAAATCAGTAACATTGGCCTCTCAGGCTTTGAGCTATTTCACCAGCTTTTTAATGTAATGKTTTTTTTTTCCTGAATTGGATGGGAGTTGTTTTATTCTCCATGCTTTTCATTGCTTGTCTTGCTCCATCTGCCTTCTGAGTCTCCAGTTTCCTTTCCTTTTTTAAAATTATTACAGCCTGTCAAGCTCTTCAATAGCCATCTATTTAAAGATTTTAAAAACGCTTGTCCCTTAATGAAGGGGAGGAACGTGTGAATTAACGAGCCACATAGAGAGCGGGGATGTGCTTTGCTGTTTGCCGGCGAGCGCCGCAGGAGCCGCCTGTTTCTGCAGCATCATCCCTCCCGCGCGGCGCGTGCAGCGTGGAGGCAGCTGCAGTCAGCTGACAGCTCCAGCTCCCATGGACGCGGGGAAGGGGCGCGCTGGGTTAAGTGCATAATAAAGCCCTTGTTTCGTCAGCAGGAAGCGGGCATGGGAGCAGCCCAGGGGAAGCGAGAGACAGAAACGCTGCTGTAGTGGAAGGGAAGTCGGGATCGGCGGAGCCGGAGGGATCTGCAGGCAGCTGTAGGGATGCGCCGAGGCAAAAGGGCACAAACGGGGCTTGTTTGCTGCAAGGGCAGGGGATAAATGCGAGCAGCAGATAACAGCCTGAGACAGATGAGCTCGCGGGGAGGATGAAGTTATTTTTTATGCTCTGCTGCCCTTCACCTCCGTTGGTACCTTCCAGTGAAATCGGTGCGGTTGTATTTTTAGCTGGCTGTGGCCAGCATCGATATGACAACATAATTCTGTCTTTACATCCGTAAGCAGCTTTTACTGTGTTTTCCTGTTTTCTGCCAGCTGCAGTTTACAAAGGATGTCACAGCACTGGTAAGAAATGCACAGTAGCCATTTCTCTGCTTTTTGTAAGGCATGTTCTTGGGCGAGAAGCGAAAATATAAAACGGCAAGTTTGTTGGGAATGAGGTAGAGAGCGGGAGCCCATCGCTCTGCCCCTGCTAATCGCTGAATTTGTGGTTTGTGCCTGCGTTACCTGGTGAGCATCCCTGGCAGTTTGCTTTAATATTTTTGCACGATGTAACATACGTTGCAGCAGCTCCTAATGCCTTGCCCTGCTCTCTACTTTGCTCTCTGTTGATTTTTATGGCTGCACTTGGGCTTTTGTAACCTGCCTAGAATTAAGACGGAGCACGATGATATTCYGGAATTGACCGTGTTATTATTTGGACAGGAAACGCTGTAGTGTGATACCACGCCTAAATGTCTAAGAGCCATGCGAAATAATGTTAATATTCTGTTATATTGGCAGGCTCCACCATGTCAGCTCGTTATTTTGTTATTTTTAAACTGAACGAAGTCATGCTAAAGTTTATAAATAATAGGATATTGTCTAAATAATTGTTATGCTTGTCCCTATTTTTTTCTTTTGCATCTTTTGATGATTTCACAATTGTATAAAATGTCGCCTCATGCTAAAAGGAGACTGTTGAAATGTGCTAGATGTATTATAGCCTTTTTAGCCTTTTTTAAAGGAGTCAGGCTCTTAAAGAAGCAGCTAAACATACTAGAGAAATAAAATTGTGGTTGTAGTTTTGTTCTGCTGGTGTGTAGACCACCATAGCAGATGGGTAYGGATGTTTATGCTCTTTGTAGTTTGAACTTAAAAGCCATGCATATTAGTCTCAAAACCATGCATATTATTCCTATTTTTGCAATACTGTAATACTGTTTAATGTAGTGGCTGTCTCCTGTAAAATGTAAGATTACTGAAAGGGGGTTGGTTCACAGCAAAGCTGTTACTGCTGTAATTTATTCGTTTTATGTCTAGGAACTGTAGCTCTTATATAGAAGACATCTTGGAGGAGTGTGTGTATATTTGCATGTAGTTTTTATTTGCTCCATTTTAAATGAATAGAGAATTTTCTCATGCTAATTGATTTTACTGTGCAGTATTTTATCCTGGCGATTGCTGTGAAATTCYGGGAGTGATATTTGAAGCACTGAAATTGAAACAAACCTGAGGAGAAAAATGCTTCCTACATTTTGTACTCATGGATTTTGGGCAACCTGCCTACGGTGCTCTCTACCTACAGTATTTTTCTAGAATGGCTTGTTAGTTCAGCTTTTAATTTTTCAGGGAAAGGATTTATGTAGTGATTTTGCTTGTCCTGTTTTTACTCCCCAAGGGGAGGGAAGGCTGTGCTTAAGTTTTAAGCGCTCCTTTTAGCCAGAACAATATGCGACACAAGTTTCTGACTTGTTTCCTCTTTGAACCCTGAATCGCGCCAACACTTGCATGGCTGGAGTTTAACTGGAGTTTTCCCGTCTCCCTCTTGTTGCCTAACGTTCCCTCCATCTTCTCTCCACAGGCATATTCCCAGGATGCCTACCTGAAGGGCAACGAAGCCTACAGTGGCAATGCCCACAACATACCCGAACCACCACCAATATGTTACCCGCGCCTGACGCCTGCCGCCTCGGGCCCGGCGCAGGCTGGTGACAAACTGGCTTCTGATTTCCCTCTGGGGAAGCAGCAAGTCCCTAGACCAGTCCGGGCGGTGACCCAGCCAGAGAGGGCCTACAGAATGGAAATACAAGTGCCTCCATCACCAACAGACATTGCAAAGTCCAACACCGCGGTGTGTGTCTGCAATGAAACTGTGCGGACTGTTATTGTGCCTTCTGAGAAGGCTGTAGATCTGCCATCTTGTAGAAATAACCACGCTGGTCCATCACACAGGACAGAGGAAGTGAGATATGGCCTGAAAGAGCAAACCTCTCTAAAAGCGCGGACCACGTCGCCACCTTCCTCCGTGTCCACTGCCATCATACTTCCGCAGACTCCCATAACAAGGCCGGTTGATCCGACTGGCCCCATAGGCAAAGCCTCCAACTATGTAGTGTGTCCGGAAGGAATGCCAAGCACTAGAGCTCCCGCTGCAGCCCCGGAGTCGCCCCCTGTCCCCGCRAACCATTACAGCCCCACCTCCCACCAGCACATCGACTGGAAGACCTACAAGACCTACAAGGAGTACATCGACAACAGGCGCATGCACATGTACGGCTCGCGAACCATCCAGGAGAGGCTGGACAGCCTGCGGGCGGCCTCCCAGAACACGACCGACTATAACCAGGTGGTGGCGGCTCGGCCTGCTCCGCAGGTGCGCCGCCGCAGCACCTCCCACGACCGGGTGCCGCAGGCAGCGCAGATCCGCCAGCGGAGCGTCTCGCAGGAGAGGCTCCAGGAGCCCGTGCTCATGAAGGAGTGGCCRCGGAGCGCTTCCCAGGACACCCTGACCTCACCCTCCGTTAACGGCAGGAACCACCGGGCTCGCTCCTGGGATTACCTGAGCAAGCAGGGYGAAACGCTGGAGAGCTTCCCTTCCGAGACTCTCATTGCAGAGGCGAATGGAGATAGGAGGAAGCCTTACAAGTGGACGGGATTCACTGAACAAGACGACCGGCGGGGTATTTACGAGAGGCCGAGGCAACATGCATTTCATATGTCCCTTCGAGGCCAAAACTTTCCTATGGCTCCGAGCACTTATATTTCAGACAGTAGGAGAGTAGGTAGTAGAGCTTCACTGTCCGCTTCTCACTTCCAGAAGGTTCCACCAGATATAAAAATGTTCCAGTCCTCTCGGGATTTGCAGTCTCCTGGGGGGCTATCAAAGCCTACAGCTGTTTCACAAGAGAGAGTGTCTCTTGCAACTGCTAGAGGCTTTAAAAGTAGCTCTCTGAAGAACCCTGCTTCCTATGCAGCAAAACCATCGTTTCCCCTTAACCAGAGCCTGGATGTTCTTGCCAGCAAAGACCAAAGAACAGTCAATCACTTGCATCAGAGTGGTCTGTTAAATCAGCAGCCCAGGGCCCGAGCAGAAGGTTCCCCAGACCACAAAACAGACGCTGGCAAAAGCACCCAGCCCCCTGCTTTGTCTGCGGCCTCTGCCAAACTTGTTCATCCAACAAGTGAGAGTTCAGCTACCTCTGACAACATAGATGATTCTGTCAGACAGAGTCACGAACTGGAAAGGGAAGATGTCCGAGAGCCTGAAACGCTGCAGCCYGATGGTCCCGAAAGCCACAAAGAAGTAGTTGTCATGAGGGATAAGTCACCTTCTGGCCACCAAACTCCCCAGCCTCTGAGACACCACTCCTACATTCTGGCTGTGAATGACCAAGAAGCTGCTTCAGATACCACCTGTTGGTTACCTAAYGATGCTCGCAGAGAAGTCCACATAAAAAGAATTGAAGAAAGGAAAGCCTCTGGTTCCAGCCCACCTGGCGATTCCTTGGCTTCTATTCCCTTCATTGGTAAGTTCAACCAATTATTGCTGCATGCCTCTAATAGGGGTCCAGCATYTTTGTTGGAAAAGAGAGGTAACTTCTCACTGTTCCTGAAAACTTGGTGTGGGAGGTGGTGGTGACTTTTCATTAATTCTTATATAGAATAATATTAGATTGGTAACAAGTAGCAATATTTTTCAGAGAATGGGAAAGTTGTATTTTGTGGGGAATCAGTGCAAAAATCTCAGTTATTTAAAATSCTTCCAGAATTTTCCTCTAGCCCTGGAAAAGTCTCAGTTATGTAACTGTGTCTGGTTATCATTGCACATAGTGCTGTGATGTTAGGTATATGGGCAAGTAGTGTTTAAATACTCTATAGTGCCTTTCGAAACACGTCTGACTTTTATAGTATAAAACATTTGGAATCTAATGAAGATAATGTGCCCCTACATTCAGATAATGGTCATTGGTGGGAGGGGGGGAAGTGATTTTTAAGAGAGCTGAATAAATAAGGTCAAAGCTTTCTGTGGCAGGTTATAGAGTGCAGGAAGGTTGTTTCAAGTGAAAATGTAGCAATAAACTGAAGTGAATCTGCAAATAAAGGCAGTGACTCGGGTAAGAATTTGAGAGGTTTGTCAAAGCAGAAGTGAGAAGGTGCAAAGATTCCCCTCTGGGTATCCGGGCACGTAAGGGGATGAAGCTACATGAAGTTTAAAGGATGAGGACTGAGTGCTTGGAAATTATTCGTGGATGAAAATAGGACTGGAAGTAGTGACAAGGAGAGACCAGAGAGCCTTTAGGGGTGCGTGAGAAGGTGGAGTCATCTGTAGAAGACAAAATTTCAGTGACCAGGGTGATTTTTTGTTCTGCTTGAGTAGCCAATGTCTGCATCTTCCCCCTGCGCCTCCTTGCCCACCTCCTGGGGGTTTTGGTGTTTTTTGGCTCTTTGATTTCCCACTGTGCCTGATTTCTTCCTTTGGAGTCCAGATTTCTACAGACTGTTTTTCCCATAGTTTGCCTGGTATCTGAATAGCTTTTTGAATTTTATACAGCAACTATTTCTCAACTAACACACTTATTTTGATTGTGGTTACATTTTTTTTCCCTTAGATACTATTTATAATATCTGCTATCAGCCAATATTAGGTTAAAGCAGGGTTAATTCCAATAGCTAAGTGAAAATAGTGAAGGGGTTTTGTGTTCGTTGGAGGATAGAAACCTTGCATAAGATAAAATGCTACTCAGTTGACTTGAGTCTTAAGGCCACTTTCTTAGCGTGGGTCAATGTGTGGGTTTCCTGTTCCTGGGTTTTCTTTCTGAATGGGMGGTATACAGTCTTCTTGGATGACTGGATGTATCAAAATCTGCCAATTCTGGATTGTTCTGCAGACCCCCTTTATCTTTCTTTAGTATTACTGTGTGTCTGTGGCCAGCCTTTGCACAGATAATTGGAGTAACACTGTATATTGTAATCGTGTGAATTCTCATGGGCTCCTCAGCTTCTTGAACTGAAAAGTATACCCCAGAAAGGCTAGAGGGTAGCCCAGATCCCAGCTCTGGCACAATCAAGATGAGAGAACCCCTTCTGAATAAGAAACGGCAAGAAATGCTAGTAAGGCTGGGAATCCTGGAAGCTGGGGCTGGTAGGTGTGTTTCCAGCCGTGCTTGTGCCACCATCATCGTGCCTCGTTCCAGCTCCTCTTGCTGGAAGCCCCACTTGGTCAGGCAGATAAATCCTAGATCTGCTTCGAAACTCAATTGAAGGCTTTTGAATTCTTGAAGGAAAATCACTTGGGGTCCCTGTTCTGTTCACTTGGGGCTGTGAAACGTGTTGCTTTTGARTACAGAGGTACTTGGTGTTGGTTGGCAACCTCCTTGTGTTATATCAGCCCGAGCACTGTCAGTGATGCTCAGCTTTGCTAGGTCTGTGTCCTTCTCTAAATGTGGGTGTCAGGTAGCTCTTGGAGTAGCTTGCAAATGTACATTTGAAGAAATAAGTGTCTTTTGAGGCTACATGTTAAATAGTTTGTGTTTATTTTTGTTACCACTTTCTATTCCTTAGATGTGGTCAGGTTATGGTTTGGGAAGAATTCAGCCAGGAATTGTTGGCTTCTGCCTAAATATTTTGCAAATACCCTGCCCTGCTCTTGGGCATTACCCAAGAACAGGAAGACTTTAGAGCATCTTTTGCAAGTACCAGGATGCCTTTCAGCACAGACAGAAATGCAGGGAGATTTTCTGTCTTTTTTTTGTTTTGTGGCAGTTTCTTGCTGCGGTTGTCTTGTGCTGAAGAATGCCTTTTGCTGCAGTCCTTTCACAAAATGGTGTTACAAGGCAGGAAGATTAAATACTGCTTTGCATTTGCCAATAGAAATGAGGCTAAATAGAAATTTCTGCTAAGAAAAAAAACAGTAGAGGTAGATCTTTCATAAGAGGAAAAAATACGGTAAAAATGTAGACAAGCTGTGTGTACCCAGGCTCCTCAGTTAAATGTAGGTTGCTGGGGAATGAAGAAGCAAGTGGTTTTATGGAAAAACATATCCTGGTCCTGCATGCTTCCTTATTTTTCCAGTGTTAGTAAATGCTTGGAGTTTCCCTTGGAAAGCCTCTGTTGCTGTTTCAGGTCCAAGGAAGGGCTCTGTTCCCTACATGCTGCCTTGTGTTTCAAACTACACCAGTTAATCTAATGAAAGGTTTCCGCTTTTATGCGCAAGCTGTCCTACCTGGTCTCTAGACTAGTAAAAATACCGTTTCTATCAGTGATTATTTAGGCAATTGTCATGTTTAGTGCTCATCTTCTAAGACCCATAATTTGTACAATTTCTCYGTTAAAGAACAGCAAATAATACATTGCTGGTCCACAGGTTAATTTTAGACGTGTCAGCCTGGACTTGGATGGAAATTAGAATGCTGCTCAACACTTCCGTAACTAAAGAGGAAAGAAGATGATTCAGAAAACAGATATTTTTATACATTTCTAAGATACAGATGCCTGGTGTGCGTATCTCAGATGTATAGGTAGCTTGCAACTATGTTTTGCACCCTTATTTGCAGATTAGACAACTATAACAGAGATTATTCAAATCTGGTAATTTAGCTTGGAGAGAGCGGGCGATAGGAGCAGGGTGGAGAAAGCGACGCAGCGTTGGACTGCCCATGCACTGGAATGCTTTGGCCCAGTGCTATGGTTATTCTTTCCAGTATTAGGTTTTAAGGTGGGTTATGGCATGAAAATCAATTTTCAATGAATGTGTACAGAATGTTTGAACTAAGGAAGCGTAATCTTGAAGTTTAATAAAGCTTTTCGTATCAAAATGAGTTTTATAGTCATCCTATCACTGAGTTCTTGTCAAATATGCGGTAGTGCTAAGTAAGTATCAACAAACTTTTTTCTTCAGTGGACTGACCCCATTTTTGAAAACATTGAATGCAGCCTTTCCTAGGAAATGAGGTCACTTCATTCCACTATTAATTTGTGAAGGGCTAAGAGAAAATTAGCCAGATAAAAATATTCAACCAGACTGTAATAAGACTGAAGAATAGTAAGAAGTCAGACAGATGCCCTCCCTCTGCCACTGCCCAAAATACGATCCCTAAGGAAATGTGTGGGAAGGACAAGAGTGCATAATATTTCGTGCAGCTACTTCCGATCTTCTAAATGTTTCCACCTTATGTCACTTGAATGGAGTGTGGTTTGATTTTGCTCCGTGAGGGTTTCTGTCTGCATGTTACCTACAGAGCGTTCCTGCTGCTGCTGTTTTAAACCTGCTTCTCACTTGCTTAATTTCTGGTGCTGTAGGAGTGACCAGTGGCCTCTAATTCCGATTGACTCACGTTTAATACGTCTGTCCCGTCAACCCTTAGAGCAGGCAAACAACTGTGGGGATTTGTGTGCCCGTCATTAACATATGGACAAACTCTGCTTTTCACTTTGCTTCAAGAGTTCATCTTCAAGCCACTTTTCAAAAGCCAAGGACAGATTTGTTCCCCTGCGGTCTTCAAATGAAATCTGCTTTTTTAAAAAAAATTTTATCCTAAACAAAAGGATGTAGATAGGTGCTATGTTACAGGTAAGATGGATGCAGTTGGTTTCCAATTGATTTTGCTCAGACTCCTTTTAATTTTTTGCCCTTAAATCCTTTTTTAAAGGGATATTTGGAGGTGAAGCATGTGACTTGCTAAAAATACCCAGCACCAGTTAAACTTTTCAGCCTTTTTTTGGTGGTGTGCTCCTGTTGCCAAGTTGAAATTAGAGACCTATAAAATTGACATTAGCTACCTGTAAATAAGAAGCTATGCACATAGCTCAAAGGAGGTTTTCTTTGGAAAGAATAACTCATGTTGTGCTGTTTAGAGGAGTTCTATGCCATGTCTTTCCCCTTGTCCCCAGGATGATGCAAATACCCCCACCCACACAGACCCATGCAGCCATAGTCTGGGAACTACACAATAAATCTCTATGCACTTTGCTTGTGCCTTATGAGAAGGGTTATGGAAAAGGAATGGAAAAAGGTAGGGAAAAACTAGGAATGTTCTCCTTGCATGTAATACAATGTTTTGAGAGAATGTGCTCGTTCTGTGTGTTTTCTTGGGGAAAACAGATAAGCATCAAGCAGAGAGGAATTCCAAACCTCAACTTTCTTCAGCGAAGAGCCCTGCAAGTCAACCCAAAATGTGTGGATACCTTAGGGGCAAGTGGTGGCTCAGCAAAGATGTTGATATGACATGTGATAAGGAAATTATAATTTTAGCAAAAATTTTTAATCATCTGCCTAAATAAGAAAATCTTCAACCATCATGATATTTTTTTTCTCTTGCAAGTAATTGGCTTGCTATTCCAAACTGTGAAAATATAAATGTAGCTGCAGTAAAAAATCAGAGCTGACAGCTGGTTCTTTTTGAGGGACTGTTGCTTCCATTATTTTAGCAACAGTATTGGCACAGCTTGTAACATGTCATCCGTGTTTCTAAGATAAGCATCAATCTTCTGGTTTTTGCAGGGTTCTGCAGCGTGGCCTGCCAAATTG